TATCGCGATAAATATCCATTTAACATTGACTGCATAAGTCATAAAAAGCAACACCACGTGTGTTTGTAGTCCAGCCTTGTTAAGTGGACATTTCCATGTACGATGACTGACATATTCACACTTACTGGCTCTGCTACATCTTTACGAAACTATACTAGATTTGCTATGCATTTATTTATTAAATATACTAGACATGTAATATTTATGCTAGCTTTACAAGTATTTAACTAGCTGGACTACCCCTTACTACTTTACTAGTATTTATACAAGCTAGGTTACTAGTAATCTGATAAGACAACCAGTGACGGAACTAGAATTTTATACATGGGGTGGCCACTGCTATTTCGGGGGTCCACACACACACTGTACTCATACAGTGGAAAGAATAAATTAAAGAATGAATTAGTGTTGAACACAAAATATTTTCAGAAAATAAAGCTTAAGCACCAAAGAGATACGATACAGTAGCATGTGTCTGTTACATGAATTGCTGAGTTTATTTGCAAAAACATTGCTGAGTTTATATGCAAAAACATTAGCATTTAAAAAAAACAACAAAAAACATTGCAATTAGACATAGCAGGCATCAAGCAGACCTGGTTTTGAAAAGAAAAACGCAATTTTAGTGCCATCAATGTTACAAACTTATCCTAGGCATATTTAATACAACATAATTCTGTGGTTCTGGTGAGAATTGGCAAAATGTTTCACAAACTCATCCATGTTGAGGGAGCACGCCCTCATTGACTCAACACTGAGAATCCCAAGGTGACTTAACCTGTAATCAGCCATTGTTGTCCTAAGGTGTGTTTTGATCAGTTTTAAAGCTGAGAAGCTTCTCTCACAAGACACATTGCTGACTGGTGTAACAAGAGAAATCTTACAAAGTCGAAATAGCTCATGGAAGACCTTTTTTATAAGGTTCCAGAAATACAACAAAATCAAGGAGATTAGACGGTCTGTCACTTCCACTTTTCTCTCTCCTCTCAAGAAGCCACTTGGTTTGATGAACTTCATGTTTGAGGTCCTCTAAATCTGACTCAACTGACCAAAGGCAAATAGAGTCTCTTCATTCAAGAATGTTGAACTCTTTGGGTTGAGAGACTGGAACCCTTGCACAATTCTTTTTTGAAAAACGCTTCTGCAGTTCAGATGTGAGACTGTCAATCACCTGATAAAATATAGCTCTTTGAAAGCTCTCACCATCACTTTGGTCACTAATCTTCTGGCCTACAGTGCTCATCATTAATAAGTCATGAAGTCTTAAAGGGGTCATATGATGCTGCTAAAAAGAACATTATTTTGTGTATTTGGTGTAATGAAATGTGTTTATGCGGTTTAAAGTTCAAAAAACACATTATTTTCCACATGCTGTACATTATTGTTTCTCCTCTATGCCCCGCCTTTCTGAAACGCGCCGATTTTTACAAAGCTCATCGGTAGAAAGGAAAAATTGAAATCGCATCATATGACCCCTTTAAGCTTGTTTTAGGCTGTCTTTTACACACTGTTTGTACACTTATTTTGCAGTGCTCCACAATCTCCTCAACCTCAGGTCTTTCCATAGTTCTCAGAGTCATCAGACTCTCGATGACCTCTTCAATTCAATTCAATTCAATTCAAGTTTATTTGTATAGCGCTTTTCACGATACAAATCGTTGCAAAGCAGCTTTACAGAAAATTAAGTTTCTACAATATATTTAGTAGTAGCTTGTCAGGGGCCACTTGCGTTGTTGATCTATAATGGGCGATGGGCAAAGTAGCATAAATAGTGTAATCTATTAACTATGCAAAAAACCCTCTTTTTACTTAAGTACCAGATGTATGCCATAAAATATTTTTAATACGACTGACTTTGTATTTAATGTGAATTTAATAAAAACATTGTAAGTTACAAATTATAACACTTTCATGGTACAGAAAGAGAGCAAAGAACATTTACATTATCAAAAACAATATCACTGACTTCAGTCTAGCCAGAGTTCAGGCTCTCTCAAAAACTCCCATCAAAATCACTGAAGCGGTTTACACTATGAAATGAATATCTTACTTACATTCGTACGCACATCTGCACTTTGTTGTTTATGATGAGAAAATTCGCCAGAGAGCAGAATTCAGTCAGCGCGCGCGCGCACTGTACAAAACATCGGCGTTTCGGCGATGACTCATCTGAACGCCTCTGATTGGCCGCTGCATTTATAAGCTCAACAGAATCGTGTGTGATTGATTTTAATGCGCAGCGCTGTAAAAACGTGTCTGGCTCTGTGCCAGTAGCAGCTGGTGATGTTTTACTTTTTCCATTATTGCCACCCACAGGACAAACTGCGCATTGCACCCAAAGTTGTTTTGTGTGATACGATTCCAAATTTAGGGGGTCCAGAGTGGGGCCCCTCTGCCCCCCCTAGAACCGCCCCTGCTTGTAGCAAAATTTGGTAGTTTATGTTGTTTCAGGGTTGGCATCATCAGAGGTTCTCTGAGGGGTTTGCATCATCTCTTCTCAGGTGTTCGGTCATCTCAGGTCTTTGTAAGGGCTGGATCCAGACTGATGCTTGTGTAATTCCGCCGCTGCATTTTGGACTACCTGTAGCTTGTTTATTGAAGCTTGTAGCTTGTTTATTGACCTCTCTGTGCAATATTTTGAGTGGCAGTTAACAGTAGCACATCGGCAATAGTTTTAATGTAACGGTTTTTCTCCACTTTCTTTTTCCGTTCCTCATTAATGAGATCCAGCATTGATAAGTTGCTGTTGATAGCCCTTTTATGCTGATTCCAAGCATACATAGCATTGATATGATGCTCTGCCTTTAAATGGAGCTTAAACACAGAATCTTTAAACAGTGCCTTTTTCCAGTTAGACTGGGATGTGAAGGCAGATTCAGGTGTATTGGGCAAAGAAAAATACCTACAGGCAAACAATAAGCTGAATCTTGACTTACAGAATATTCAAGCCATGAATTGTCCTTATACCAGGAGCTGTTGAAAGCCCTTTTCCTAGTACCATGCTGAGCTCTGAGGAATGTTTTCAAACATGGCTGTACAGGACCCTCTTCTCTGGATCTTGAGATGTCTGAAATGCAAAATAAATAATATTATAATAAAATAATAGTATAATGTTAAATATGTCATATCTATATGGAAATGTACAATTAAGGAATCCACAAATTAGCTAACTGACAGCTGCTAACTAAAATGTGTAGTCTAAAGTATAGGTCTGGCCTACCACTGGGTCCTTTTGGAATAGCAAATCTGGTGCTTGATGCAGTTGGAAGGGGCTCAGTGACATCTTCTGTCATCTCTGGCTCACTGTCTTGCTCAGAGCCAGAGGTCTCTGTGTCATCCCATGATACATCTATTTATAACACAAGATCCATTAGTGGTTCCCATAGAATAGTAAAAAAAACACACACACAATGACCGTCACTTATTATTTCCCACAATTATTTCATTACCAACATGATTCAAAATAACTTGTTGTGAGTAAATGACAGGATTTTGATTTTTAGGTGAACTGTCCCTTTAATCTGACAAAATCATCTGTTAAAAGCTGAAGCTCAACTTAAATTCTGAAATTGCATGTGATTGCTGAGTAGATGCTCTGACCTGTTGGTGGACCTGAAGTCTGACCACACTGACTCTGACTAGTCTCAGGTATGGACCTGCTCTGGGATCCAGTGCAAGGGGTGGGGTCTGTTTGAATCTGATCTGCCTCTTTGTGCTTCTTTAAAAAGAAGTCTGATATCTCGCCCTTTCTTTTCATGTTAATTGACCCTGTGCAAAAATATGACAGTCTGGTTAAATCTGATCATCCAGTTACAAACATTTTTATCTTAATTAAAAATCCCCATTATCATACCTGTACATTAAAATCAACAACCATCCTAAATTACCCTAATCTGAAGTAAATAACTGAGCTGGCTTCTCTCGTCCTTGGGTCGTCCTCGATTTGAAAATTGCTTGCGCTGCCGGCGAAACCCAAAATAAACATATTTTGACAAATGAGATGTCAATCAGCATCAGCAACTGCCAGTAGGCAATAAAATGTTGGGGTGGCACCCGGGGTGGCCAATCGGATGTCAGAGGTGTCAAGTACCACCCCGGACACCCCTCTGGTTCCGCCACTGAAGACAACCGCCTTTATGTGAGAATTTTCTGAATTCAACTCCTTATATATATATATATATAGACAGGATGAATATATATATATATATAGACAGGATGAATATATATATATATATAGACAGGATGAATATATATATATATATAGACAGGATGAATATATATATATATATAGACAGGATGAATATATATATATATATAGACAGGATGAATATATATATATATATAGACAGGATGAATATATATATATATATACTGTATATCTGATATATATGTCTATATATATATATATATATGTCTGAGTGCTGTCATTCTGCATAAGATCTCCTTTTGAGTTCATTCTAAGAACGAAAATAATATGGGATTGGAGTAAATTTTGAATCCACATTTCTTTAATAGTTTTTGCTTTTATTATTTTTAGATTTTGCTTCTGTTGTCATATTTCAACTCATGTTTGTGTACAATTGTTCAGACTCAATTAAGTTTAAGAACTTAGGTGTTGGCATTGTTTTCTGTCATGCACACAGACCACAACCCTGTTTAAATGGCAGGTTTTAAATGCTGTGTTACAGGAATATGATATAACTATTGCCAAGGAATTTTGAAGTCAGCAACAGGCAGACTTTCATTGCTGAAAATTTTATTTCCTTTGTGTTCTTAGAGATTGGAAACTGCATATATGTACTTCTAAATTTTGTGTGGCAGATAATGAAACGGGGGGAGAGGATGCTCTGGTGGGGAATGTGAACAAACTGATGGTCACCCCTCCAGGATACACTGGACCACCCAAGAAAGGTCACATCGTCTTCGACGCCTGCTTTGAGAGTGGTGAGAGATCAGAGTATTTTTTTATTTTTTATTTTTTGCCCCCTTTTCATGCAGTTATGTGTACAATACTGTTCAGGAACAGCATAATATATATATGTATGTATGTATGTATGTATACAGTATATATATATATATATATATATACATTTTGTATCATTCTATTTAGAGATTGGAAACTGCATATATGTACTTCTAAATTTTGTGTGGCAGATAATGAAACGGGGGGAGAGGATGCTCTGGTGGGGAATGTGAACAAACTGATGGTCACCCCTCCAGGATACACTGGACCACCCAAGAAAGGTCACATCGTCTTCGACGCCTGCTTTGAGAGTGGTGAGAGATCAGAGTATTTTTTTATTTTTTATTTTTTGCCCCCTTTTCATGCAGTTATGTGTACAATACTGTTCAGGAACAGCATAATATATATATGTATGTATGTATGTATGTATACAGTATATATATATATATATATATATACATTTTGTAACATTCTAAATGTCTTTACTGTCACTTTTGATCAATTTAATGCATCCTTGCTGAATAAGTATTATTTAAAAAAAAAAAATCATGCTGACCCAGAGCTGTTAAATGGTAGTGTAATTTCTGCAGCATTAGCCATTAGGATGGATTTTTTCCCCCTAGCACTCGGCCCATCTTCCATTATTTAGTCAAACTAGTCAGGCACAAACTTAGATTGTTGGCTGAGATTACTGAAGTTGATATGACTAAAGCAATGTTGAAAGCACAGCAGAATTTACACTTTTTGAAGTGATCAACAACCTATGTTTTGGGGATGATTAACCTATGTAAATTTCAGTTTAGTGTTAGCAAATTGCTGATAACATTAAAAAAAAATAAAAGTACATACTTTATTCTTAAAAATCAACTTTAAATATTGATTGTTTATAAAGGTAAAGGAATTGGCAACCAACATTTTATCAGCAATTTACTAACACTAAATTACCATTATAATCTTGTGCTGAGTTTCATGAGTACAAATATATTAACTTGAGCATGTAATGCTGACTTGTTCATGATCTAATTTATCTAGTGTATAAACAGAATATCAATTAAAAAAGCAACTTAGTTAAGCAATATGTTAACGTGCAGTTAATTAAAGATTTAGAAGGATGTATATGGTGAACAGCTAGAATAACCGTCCGTGACTCTACAAATGTGATACACCCTTGAATTCCCAGGAGAGCCTGAGATCTCTGTCGTCAAGCATGTTTTTACAAAAATCATTGTCAGTTTCTTTTGTTTAACCATACTATTTTAGCATATGGCAGCACAGCCTGAGAGAGACTATTGTGTGAGCGGGGATTTTGATTGATAATTATCTCCCTTTTAAATGGAGGGGGTAAAAATGGAAGCGTTTCATTTGAAAGTGACTGCTCTTGTCGGTCTACCTCGCTGAAAACTGTAATTAAAGCAAGTTATGATATTTTGAAGAATGCTTTGAGTTAAATGGCCTTTGTTTGGCACTTTTTGCCAGTCTCAATGAACAGTGATGTAATGAAAATAAAGTGCTTTTGCAGTGACAAGGTCAAGTGGGCAGCTGAGAGCAGCTTTGGGCCAGATTGACAGTGAATCAGTATGGTTGTAACAGATACAATATCATTCTTTGCTGGGAGATTAGGTTCAGGGTCTCCAGCAGATGAGACTCAGCTTTCATATTTTTGACAGCCAACCAATTCACCCCTCTGCGGGGAAAGAGCTCGCCTGTGGCTAGGGTCCCTGTGGGGGATATATATATATATCTATATATA